GGGTGGATATTATCTTACAATTTTCAAATAATAATATTATGTGAGTGTAAAAACATACTAAATATTGTGTAATTTGCTTTAAATTTATAAGATATTGTGAGTTTTTTCTTCTTCTTCTTAATTAAATCATTTGAATTATGATGTAATAGATCCATGAAACACAATTAAGATCATGCATTTTCATCATAATTAATTAGAAGTGATTGAATTTTGTTTTAAATATATATTTGTTATGTGGTATAAAATTTGTGGTGATAAAATAATGTGTTACATTATAGCTATGCACATAAAAGATTGCACATGCACAACTATAATAGCAAAATACAAAAGTTTCTTGTTGAAAAACTAGAAAAAAAATAGCAAAAATAATGAGGTATGGATCGGATGAAATGATCTGTTATGTTCATCATTTATCAGGTAATGACAATCAAACAATAATGCGTCAAAAATAGAAGATAAGTGATAAAAGTTGGACAATGACATTCAATTATAATGGTTAGATGTTGTACCTCCTTGCGGTTATTATTAATGTTGAGAGTCAAGTGAGGCTACAAAGGTTATTAAACCTCCATGCTCTCTATCTCAAATTAGAGTTTAGGGTTTAGGATGATATTAATATGTTTTTGAAAGTGGTTATGTCATGAATTTAGTTAAAATCTCTAAACACTTCATTTAATATCACTACAAAAAATACTAATAATTTTAGTAGCATTTCATGGGAAAATAATAATTTTTTTGTTAATAAATTTAATTTTCGATAGAGTACACACAAAAATTATTCCAAAGATAAACACTTGGTCAAAAATACATTCCAACAAAGGCAAACTTGACATGAAAATTTTATTTGCAAATTTCAAGCAAAATTTTAGCCATAAAGAAATGTAAGAAAAAGACATGGAGAGTCAAACCCACTTTCAATCCCTTTTTCCCCTCTTGTACATGCTTAATAAATATAAAAATATAAGCCATGTCACACAAATTTATCTCGATGTTTTTTAGGAAAAAAAAAACTGTGATGTGTATGTCAGACAACTCATAAGTGATGTGTATGTGGGTGTGTGTGTGTGCGTGCAAGAAATTTTCCATTAAGAGTCATGACCCAAGATCCTCCAAAAAAGGCCTGTAGAGTCGATCCCATTATCCAATCTTTTTCCCCCTTTTGTACATGTTTAGTAAATATAGAAATACAAGCCACGTACAAATCTATTCACAATGTTTAGATTAAAAAAAATGTGATATGAATGTCATACAATTCATAAATGATGATGTATTAATGGTCAGTATTAACTTTTAAGTTCTGATGATTTTGAGGATTGCCAAGGAGGCAAGCTAAGTTAGCGAGTAGATTGATCAGTTTATCAAAAGAAACAAACATACCAAATCGACGAGCCCGGTCGCCAAGTTAGCTTGACATCTAGTTTAAGACAGTCGACACATGAGCAAGTAAGATTCACAAATCATTTTAGTGAGTCACTGGTGATGATCGTGTCTTTTGAATAATTTGACTAATTAACACGAAAAAAAATATAAAAGAGTTGTGGTATGTATGTAAATGCCTCCCCACCCCTCTCTCAGGGAAAAAATATTACATCAGGACTCCGAACGTAGAGCTACGTTCGAATTGTAATAGTTAGGAATATCTCGTTGTGTTACATGAATATTTCATCTGCGTTATTTGTAAAAAATGAAGTGTTATTCAAGTAATATATTATGTTATTTGATTATTTTGCTGTGTTATTGAAATATTCCCCCGCGTTACTTGATTTGAGGCTGAAGTGTTATTAGAATATTCCCCCGCGTTACTTGATTTGGGGCTGTGTTATTCCAATAACATATTGAAAATTAACATAACACGAGAAATATGTCGAATAACACAACTCCAAATCACGTGAAGTGGGGGAATATTTTAATAACACCGCAAAATAATCGAATAATATCATATAATACTCTAATAACACTTCAATTTTTAGAAAATAACGCAGATCAAATTTTTCTATAACATAGTGAGATATTCATAATTATTACAATCCGAACATAGCTCCACTTTCTGAATTCTGATGTAATATTTTTCCCACTTCCTAGCAATATAAATATGCACCGTGAGAGAAAAAGGAGACAAAATCAAGAGACAGAATCACCTTTATTTTGAGTCGACAAATTTAATATATTAAAAAATATAATATTAAATAAATAAATTGAATATTATATTGACATCGAAACCAAACATTTCTTTCCTGATGTTTTGATTTATTTATTTTTAATATTGGGAAAAACATTTATTAAGGGAGACAAAATTACTAGTTTATTAATAATTATTTATTCTTGCAAATAATTGCCCCGGGTGATTGTCTAGTCATTTATTCTTCCACATGCCACCACCTAACAAGAACATAATTCTTCACATATCTCACCTAAAATTTCTTATTTACATACACAACATTTCAATGTCTTAAATCTATACATGAAAAGATGTATTTCCCTTAAAAAAAAAAAATATAGTACTATTTTCTATGTGATGCTAAGGACTTGAGTGCTATATCTGTAAATATGAAAGTTTAGGGGCGAGATATGAAAATACATAAGATGTGCTGTGTATGTAAATGTTCCAAAATTGAAATTATAAAAATAAAATAGCAATTTTTTTTTATTTAATACTATTTTAAATTTAGTAGCATAAAATTTTAACACTTCTACTTTTTTTAAAAGTTAAATATATCTTTTATGTATATATTTATAGCACTAAAATGTTATAAATATAAATATCAAATTTAAAATGTTAGACATATAAATCTATAAGATTCTAGTGGCACTTACGTAAATTTGCTTAAAAATATTAGCATTAGTATTTTAAAGTTTTTATGGTGGAATAAGAGAAAAGATGATAATCAATATGTATGACATGCTAATTGATTGCTAAAGTTTAGGGAACCCATCCAACCCCTAAGATTATTGGAAGCAAAAACAACACGATCCATTTCACAAACTTATAATAGATTGAGGATCAAGTCTATTTGAGCCAACCTATGGCTAAATCAAGAAGGTTGAAGGGCGGTTCAATAGGTTAAGTTGCTTCTGTAGTGATTCAAAATCAATCAAATAAAATTTGAAAATATTTAGTCTCTCGATTCTCTCCTTGAATTCGAATCATATACTTGTTAATCCAAAAGAAAATAAGAAAGAGCTCCATTTTCATTTATTTAACTCTAATTTGCACATGAACCCTATTAAGGTTGCGGATGGCTGTAATTAATTTTTGACATCCAGGACAAATTCCAAGTTGCAGAATCAGGATACCTATATCTATAACAGGCTTCATACATATTTCAGGGAGCTTTGGATCACAAAAATAGTGTTCAACAGCTAAAGAAAGCATCAAGGAGAAAATAAGATTATACAAAGTTTATTCACACATTAAAAACAGAAATTTGAAACAAAAGCTTGCTCTAATTTAGTTTTAATGTGAGGGGGGAAAAACAAAAGAAAGCACTACCAAACAGCAGAACTAACCTCATTCACATTATGCTTTTACAGAGAAGCAGAGCTCTAGTCATCATTGTCCTCAGCAATGCAGAATAAGAACTGTGGGAATGAAGCGATTCGAGGCAGATTCATCAGCAATTCACCGAATGATTCCTTTCTGGTAAGACCACAGGGTTGGGAGTCATCAATAGCTTTCTTCTCTGAGGATTGTTTGGAATCATCTTCTGGAAAATATTGGTGTTCTTCTGTTGTGGATAGCAGGTTTTGAAACGAAGAATCTTTTTGGAGGAGGCTGCAGAAAGAGTTTACTTTGGACATGAGAGATTTTTCATCAGTAACACAGGTTTGAGAATCGGTGAGAAGATGCTCAGCCAATTCTTCTAGTTTTGCCTTGTTGGGCAGGCGGTCAGCTGAGAAGGGGGGATTTCCTGAAGCCATTTGCTCAGAGATGCGTTGTTCTAGATGGCTAACCAAATCATGTTTGGACATGGAGGTTCTGAGTTTCGGTTCTTTAGGCTGTTCCCACTGCACAGGTGGTTTGCTTGTTTGTTGGTAGACATTTTCTTCAATAGGCTGAGCTCCCTTGGCAGAAGCGCCTGTTTTTAAAAAACAAAACGAACCTCAACGTTATTCTAAAAGAGACTTGTTGGTAGCTGAGTAGGCTTGACATTAAACATTATTAGTCCTGCATGGGTTTCACACTTCGATTTATCATGCTTTGGTAGAGTTTTTTTAATATATATATATATATATATATATTTATTTACTTTGAGGGCAAAGTGGAATTTCAAGAGGTGAATAGTCTAAAGAATTATAGACACATTAGCTGGATTAGTAATAGCTCAATTGAAATAAATAACTGTGGGTTCTGGTCGTTCATATGTTATTAATGAAGACTAATATGTATTGTATCTCATTACATACTTCCTCGGGAAGAAATGGAGAATGAATTAAACCCCCTCCCTCTAATAAATTCTGCAGGTCTAACTTCTCAACTTAGCATTTTCTAGAGTCCCCAACAACTGCAATCATCATTTATCTTTCTTCCTCCCTGGGTTGTAAAATCCTCCCTTCACTATGAGTACTTGATTCATGTATGGTGAAAGACCTACTTCAATGGGAGGGTGATCGGTTACGTCAAAGTTATTTGGGTTATCAATGTGCCATTAATCGATCGAAGACCATATTTTGTATGAATTGAACTTTGTGATATGATTGCAGTCCAACTTTTGTGGTTTTGCATGTTTCATGCCAAAATTATTTTATTAGTGCATGTTATTAGCATTAAATTATTTGATAATAATGTTATTCAAACTTCATATTTAAAGAATTCAAGCTTGTATCTTCCAAGCATGTTAGTAGAATTGAAGCAGCCTTGCGATATTTTTCTTCACCCAAGTGTCTTTTGAGATGTGTTTTATACATCCAGTTAGAATATTGCTTCCCATATTAAAATATATTATAACTAGAGTATGGCTGAGGATTATATCAAGCGATAGAAGAATGTGAGGTAATTTCAATGGCCAAGTCATCCTACCAAACAATTATTTATTATGAAGTTCTTATATTTCAATATAGTACTGCAAATAATAGTCAACCCGTATCAAAGCATGATGACAAGGTCTAATGGTCTATTCTTCTGAGGCCTGATTATTTGTTGATGCTTCTCTCTCTCTCTCTCTCTCTCTCTCTCTCTATATATATATATATATATATATATGGCACTTAGAAGGAATATGGAGAGAGGAGCATGGGAAGATCTGGATTAGAGCCATAATTTCATAAAAAAAATGAGACTAGTATTGTTCTGCTAAAGATCCATTATTTACATGATTTCCCTAACCATGATTTTGCCCTTTTTGATCGCACAATTTGTGAAGGATTTATCCGTTAACAAACCCGTCAGAAGGCTCTAACTTTGTGTATAAATCTTGGATTTTGCTGATTCCATCAGATTTATTGTGAGAAGTATAATATTTTGGTCAATCTTTTTATTTTATATTATTTTTTGCATAATAATTATTGTATAATTATTTTGATTTAAAAAAATGGCTTTTATGCATTTACATATTGGATAAACATGTGTCCTGTATTGATGTTTTATGCTTGCTTGCTCTATGCATAACGATGAAAAGCTGAGATAAAATTCTTATGATGATGAGGTTGGTTTTATGATATGCATATTTGGTCTGTGCAAGAAAGAACGTTGGATGTTTAAAATTTTTTATATCCAATATGAAGGTAAGTTATAAACTTCTAGTTATTCTTTACTTGTTAACATGTTGAATTCATGCGTATGGTAGTCAATAAATAATGAGACATTTTTACTCGGAAAAATTTATGTTTTCAATATTTAGACCAATCAAAAACGGGTATTCCCTGCAGGGATTGCGATTAATCAAACATGATGTTGGTGAGCTCCAAATTCATGTCCAACCTCTTCCTATTGAGTTTTTGGTGTGATATTCTCGATCAAGTTTTTATAAAGTAGATTAGATTACAAATAAGACATTATCCCCGAAATTTTGCTCAAATTTTATAGATTTTTTAAAAATATGATTCTAAATTTCCGATAAGGGCAAGCTCCTATAGTTAATTATATATCCGGATAAAGAAAGAACTTCCGATTAAGACTAGTCATTAAACACTAAATGTTTAACATATATAATAGTAATAATTAAGTATTAGATTAAAAAAATTTATCATAATCAAACTGAAGTGGATAGTGAGGAGAATAATGATCAATCAATTCTATCATCCTTGGTTATCATGCACCCTAATTTTCTTAGGTAGAAGAGATAGTCGAAACCTACCTAACCCATGGATCATTGTCAATAGTCATGGTTGTGTCATCCAAGAAAATCTTATAGACCTGAGTTGATACTTGTCTAAGAGAAAATTTTTAAAAAGTCTCTTAACATATAACATTAAGTTCTATCAAGTGCGTCATATGATTCACAACTTAAAGAGCTGAACCATTGAGAAACCTATTTGTTAGGTGGCTCTAGTTATAGTCACCTCTTTTTTCAATACTATTTAAAAGCAAAATCATGTTAACAAAAAACATGAGTCATATACTTGCTAGCATGAGATTTTCTGAGTGTGCTATAATGGTACACTTGATATGACATTAACTTTTTATAAACTTATATTAATGTTAAATTTATCACACTCGATAAACTATCAATAAGGATGAATGGATTATTGTTTCAACATTAAGTTATATCTTTTCCTATAACATCTTTATATTTTAATTTTTTTAAAAATTTTTATATTATGCCAGAATTTAAACTTGAAATTATTTACATTAATAATTGGGGCCTTTTGATGATAAGAAACCACTCAGGTTGAATTTTTTTATCGAAATGATCAAAATCAAGGTGTTTGATTGCTTTGAACAGTTTAGATTATCTCTTACTTGCAAAACATCAAGTTCATAATGCGCATTGATTAAGTTTACCAAGATATCCTTTGTGCTACAAATCATATCGACTCTACCCCATTTGTAAATGTTTGAATCTACAAATTAGAATACTATATAAATTTATTTGGAAATCTATTAGGTTATAGACTCTGTCAACCAGGGGTGAGCATTTGATCGATTTGGATTAGATTAATTTCCAAATTGATTAAACCAATTACAACCAAACTCCAAAATCTGGAAAACCAAACCAACAGAAAATTAAGCTGAACCGACCATACCAAAATTTAATTAGGTTTAAACAGTTTGGTTATGAACAAAACTGAAATTTAATTATTTGTTGAAGTCTGGTTACAGACAAACATCACGATCTCTTACTTGCAAAAGATTGGGTTCATAATACGCATTAATTAAGTTTACTAAGGTATTATATGTGTTACAAATCCTATCGACTCTACCAAATTTGTAAATAATTAAATCCATGAAATAGAATACAATCTAAATTTATTTGGAAATCTATTAGGTTATAGAATCCATCAACTAGGGGTAAGCATTCAATTAATTTGGATAGATCAATTTTCAAATTGGTCAAACTAATTAAAATCGAAATCCAAAATCTGGAAAACCAAATCAATGAAAATTTTGATAAAACCAAACAGATCAAACCAAAATTAATTTTTTTTTTGTTGAGGTTTGGTTATGAACAAATATCACAAATTACATGTATTACATGTATAAGATCAATTTAATTTTATGAATCTTTTATTTATTTCAATCAAATGTTGCATATAATGGTAAACTTTGATTTTTTTTTCTGATTTTCTCGACAGGAAGAGAATATAAAATTTTAATTAAATTTTAATTTTTCAATTTGTTCAGTTAAATTAAAATTCAAACCCAACAATAACCTAAAACAAAATATTAAGATTTTCAAAATAAAAAAAATTGAACTGTATTTTTTAAACCGAATCGAATAAACTAACTTTATACACTTCGGTTCAATTTTTTCATTTTTGACCACATAATACATAACCATTCTGTCAACTCTATCTTACAAGATACAAATTTGTCTAAGAGTTCAAGGCTTGATATTTCATCGCGAAGACAAATTGTCGAGAGTTTAAATTTAGAAATGGAATTCCTTTATAAAGTCTTAAAGGCTCATATGAAAATGTAGAAATAACATAACATTTTTTAATGAGATCACATTCATTTCTTGATCAATCTCGTCAATTTCAATCCTTATGAAAAGGATTAAACTTGCTAAATGGAACTTATTGCTTTGTCCCACATGTAAGATAACCCACTTGAAAGAGCTTAGCTAGATGATGATTTATTTTCTACTTCGAAAAAGACTTTGCCTTGTTAAGATAATTGTATCTTTTAAAATATTTGCACACTTCTCAAAGCAAATTTATTTTAGTTGTCATTTTGAGTCCACAACATTTTTCAACCTTATAATTGAGTAAATAACATGTTGATAGAAGCACATGCAAGTATATAATTTGAATATAATGAAAAATGTGCAAGACCGTTACATCGGCTCTTGAATGTAATGTTAAATAAACAAGTGATCCCACATTGCGAAAGAATGCGGGTAAAAAAATTAGTTCATGAAACTAATATTATGATAGAATAATGGAAGATAGGTATTCTCAAAGATAGATTAATGAAATAAGTAGATATTATGATTCATAATATAATAAATATCTTATGTATTTAAGAAACCAAATGGGTTGAAGATAATGCTAAGAAAATTGATAGCTTAGGTTTTAAAACTTGATATTCAGGTAAAAGTCGCACTAGAAATGGTGTAGATGTAATTATAGATAAAAGTTTGAAAGAATATGTTGTAAAAATTAATAAATTAGAAATAGAATTATAGGCCGTAAGATTGTTATCGACACTAAGATTTTTAATGCTATGAGTGTCTATGCTCCTCAAGTAGGTTTACATATAGGTTATATAGAAAACTTCTAGAATGACCTATTATAATTAATACAAATGATACCTCTTGATATGAGACTTTTTATTGGAGGAGATTTAAATGGTCACCTCCATAGAGAGGTGGAAGATTTAGAAATATTCATGATGGCTACGGTTTTAGAGTGATTAAGGAAGAAGATAGAATTATATTATATTTTGCTTTAGCATATAATTTTATTATCGCTAATA